GCGTGACCTATACTCGGCACTTGGGGCCATTAAGCAGGGAGGGATCTTTTTCGTGCCAGCACTTACTTCGACACGGGGCCTCAGTAAACACGGACTCCATGTTCCCCAGTGGGATTCGAAATCGCGACGTAAAGATTAAATCCTTACTTCGCGACTCTATGGCAGATGCTCTAACCACTGCGCCACGCCGGTGACAAGAAAAATATATAGCACTTGGTGGGATTTCTTAGCATCATAGGTTATATGATCAGTGAGATATCGGGCGTACTTATTTTTGAGCCGGCGATGAGCCCGGCAAAGTGGCTTCATTACTTTTTATCTCACCTGAGCCTCAAGTGAGCTTTTCTGATCAAAATTTGTCTGTCGTCGTCGTAAATTTTTCACATTTTCATCTTCTTTTTAAGAACCAGCGGGCCAATTTCAACCACACTTGCCACAAAGTATCCTTAGGTGAAGTGGGTCCAAGTTTGTTCAAATGAAGGGCCACCCCTTTTCAAGGAGAGATAATTGTATAGTAGTGAAAAATTACTGGCACCTTATAAAAATCTTATTCTCAAGAACCACTGGGCCAGAAAAGATGAAACTAATGTGGAAGCATCCTCATGTAATGTAGATTCAAGTTTGTTCAAATCATGACTCCTCAAGGTAGGGCGGGGCCACAACGGGGTATAGAAGTTAAACATAGGACAAATCTTCTGATGAAGAACCACCGGGCCAGGAAAGATGAATCTCATGTGGAAGCATCTTCATGTACTAGTGTAGATTCAAGTTTGTTCAAGTCATGACCCCCAGGGGTAGGATGGGGGCACATTTGGGGATCAAAATTTTACATAGGAATACATAGGAAAAATCTGTAATAATCTTCTTCTCAAGAACAGCAAAGCCATGATTGGTCATAGTTATAGGTAGTGTAGATTCAACATTGCTCACGTCGTAATCCCCCGGGATAGGGCGGGCCACAATGGGGTATCAAAGTTTAACAGTCTCCAGACTGTCAGCCAGTATATATCTCTGAACCTGTTAGGTAAAACTTATTTTAAAAAAAAACCTATTTAATGAAAATCTCTCATGTTTTAAATCATGTTTAAAATAGTATTAGTTGATGTTGTATCATTTTTCTTTCTTCAAAAAATCTATTTACACTACATGATTTTTTAAACCGTTTCCTTCGCTCAGGAAAAATATATTAATGAAAAAAGTATCATGTGAAGAGATTTCTTGGAGTATGACGTGAAGTTGGTCATCACCTGGTCAAATCCTATAATGTCCAAGGGGCGTTATATACTGTGGTTTCATCAATATTTGTCGAGCAACAATTTTCGAGGATTTCGTTGCTGAGGAGATCCACGAAATTAAATGTTCATTGAATTGCGAAATATGTTATTGATTTGTATAGACAATGTTTTAGTCCAAGAAATTACGTATCCTCGAATACGTCTGTTGTACAAAACCCACGAAAATTAATGGCAAGGAAAAGTGATGAAGCCACAGTAGTAGATTTGATCACGTTTCAATTTCATATCATACCCCAATGAAACTTAAAATTGATATTTATTTCTCATATTTATATTTTATATGTTATAAGGGAAATATGCACTACCAATATGTTGTTATTGAAGTACCACATAACGTATTTGAACGACGTCTTAGTCTAGATCCCCAAAAGTCTTGCGCGGATTCCTTTCTATACTGGCAAAAGTTTGAACGTGTGTTTGAAAATGGAATGCCAATTTACTTCGTATATTCATATAAGAAAGAACGTTGGCAACTAAATATTTAAAGAAATATTTACAGGACAAAGGCTTTTGTTTTGTATACGGGGTATTCCCTACTTATTCCTTATCTCATTTTCAGGCACCCCCACTTCATGCTCGTATTTTAATACATCAATCATTAACCTACTTTAAAATGGCATCGTTCACTCTAATAGACTTTTTTCTTGTGAATTAAACCTTTTCAGTCGTTTCTGGTCGAGTCTCTTTATTGTAAACTATTCATTTATTCCTCGAAATTTACGTCGATACATTTCAAGACTTTAACTGGAATACAACTTCCGGTAGGGATAGGATAAATCCAGAGGCTTCCGAGTATTCCATTCAGAGATCTCTGGTTTTATCCCTCATTTACATGTTAAACCCCAACCGGAAATTTGCATCCTAACAAAAATCTTAATATTTATCGAGGTTATTTTCGAGAAATTAAAAGACGTTTATAACAAGAGGCCCATGGGCCTTATAGGTCACCTGAGCATTATGCAACAACTTTCCGGTGATTGAATTTGATTCATGTTTTAAGCCAGATGGTATGGCATTCAAACTTTTGAAAGAGGCACCATTTATCATTATAACAATACACTTAGCAGTTGCTTAGTTTGTTTACTTAATACCCATACGCAGGGTAGGGGAACAAAAAATGCATTCCAACTAGTCAGTAATATTCAGCAATAATCAGTAGTGCCCCTACCACACATGAACCTCTAACCCTTAGGCCTTAATATTTGATTAATACCAAGGAGCAGATTTCAAACCATTCATTAATTTTTAGTATATAAGTACAGCCACCCCCCCCCCCTATGGTACCTCTGACCCTGGGACCTTAAAATTCACAATTCTGGAAGATTAGGGCCAATTTGAATTATCATAACTATATAGGTAGTTCATCTGCTTAATACCCTGGAGCAGAGAAGAAAATTTTCAAAGATGTAATGTACATTTGTATTTTCACTATAAAATCAATAGAGTCCCGCCCTAACAGCAGAACCCCTGACCCTGGGGCTATAAAATTCACAATTTTGGAAGAGGCATTCTTGCTCATCATAACTATGTACTTAGTTAGTTTATTTAATTCCTAGGAGCAGAGAAGAAGATTTTCAAAGAATTCATGTATTTTCACTATATAATCAATAGAGCCCCGCCCTAACACCAGAACTCTTGACCCTGGGGCCATAAAATTCACAATTTTGGTAGAGACACTCTTGCTCATCACAACTATGCACTTAGTTGGTTTATTTAATACCCAGGAGGCAGAGAAGAAGATTTTCAAAGAAATAATGCATTTTCACTACCTACTTATTTAGCCCCGCCCTAGCACTAGAACCCCTGACCCCAGGGCCATGAATTTCAAAATTTTAGTAGAGGACTCATTGCTAATTACAATCATGCAAACAGTTTGACTGCTTGATGTCCAGGAGTAAAGAAGAAGATTTTTAAAGAATTGCAATAATTTTAGTGGTTTTATATTAGGGGGGCAGGGATGAAATTCACAATTTTTGTTTCCCTTTACCCATAGATGCTTTGTGCCAAATTTGGTTGAAATTGGTTCAGTAGAAGCTGAAAATGTTCAAATGTTAACGCACGACGCACAACGCACGACGCCGGAAGAAAACAGATAGCAATAGGTCAGTCACCTGAGTTTACTCAGGTGACCTAAAAACAGGCTTGATCAGAGACTATGTAACTGACAAGTAAAAAGTTTCTAGAAGCGACCGATGTCATTTTAAAGTAGAATAATGATATATTTAAACAAGTTGTTGTCCTTTAAAAAGGACTGCAATACGTGGACCATATGCATGTGTTTCTAACTGAAGTTCAATTAGAGAAAATTTCTAGGTTTAGTGAATATTCATGTAGGTTCGTTTCACATTTCTGCAATGATCTACCTACTTTGACTGATAGTACTTTCATAACAAAATTGTTAAATTTTATCTCCAATTAACCTATAGATTTGATATTACACTTGTAATATACAGCTACATTGAAGCACACCGCCAATGAATATTTAAATATGATATGCAGGTTTAAAAGCGAGATTTGCCAATGAATAGCATATTCTAATTTAAATAGGGCGAATTATTTTACGGGCAAGTTGTCTTTGGGCTGAACTCTTTCAATCGGCAATACTCCGCTGTGTCCGCTACGCTTCATTAAAACCTCGGATGTGATTGGTGGAGTAATACGCATCAAATCAATACATTTCTCCGCCGGAAACTGCCTTGTCACTCATTCCATATTTCGCTCTGCATTAAAGTCTTCGAAAAAATTCTTTCCGAAGTCTTCATTGTAAAATTATAGAGGCTTTGAAAGCAAGAAAAAGTGCTTAACATGCAACAAAGTAACTCAGATTTCAAATGTATGAAATTTGAAAGAAATTCAAACAAGATAACATGACTGAATCAGCAAGATGGTAGATCACCGTTGCCGTCTGTTGTGTGCGAGGTGCGAGCCATGCGCATGCGTTGCCTGACGTTTGCCCATGGCATCCGGTTTAACCTCGCTAATATATTTTCTGCGTCCAGGGTCCACGCAAAAATACGACCTTGAAGTGGTGGTGCCTGTAAATGAGGTATGTACTTTGAGGTAAAAATCAGTAGGGGTATCCCGTTTACGAAACAAGTGTCTGTGGTTACAGGATATATCTATGAAGTAAATATAAAATATCAAGTGTATTCGAAAGGTGTGTGTGTGTGGGGGGGGGGGGGGGGGGGTATGGGCATTCAGTCTCTGATCCGTTGATTACCGTCGTCGCAAACCACGGCCAAAATGTACGATCCTCTCCCATTCTGGAGAAAGCTATAAATGCGCACTCCGGACCGTGGCTTGAGACGATGGTTAATTGCGCATATATAAATATGTATTTTAAGGGGTTATATATACCAACTTAACTTAAATATACATGTAATGATCAAACAATCGCCTTCAGATTTAGAGGTTTATCTTTTTTAAATATAAGATAAAGGGTTTCGATGTTTTTTCCCACTTTAAAAATTGAGAGAACAATCAATGTAAATTTTCCAATAATAAATGTTCAATTAATAGACCATTACAATCTTCAGTATATTGCATCATGAATAAATATTAATAAATGAAAGTGATATAACCCAAAAAGTTCATTGGTTTTTAAAGGTATAAAAGTGTTTTCTTTTTAAGTTAATGTAAAGCATGCCCCCCCCCCCCCCTTTTTTTCCATGTGAATTATAATGAATGATTTCTTTGCAGATAAATCCTACAATTGTATACGATAATTTTATTTATTATACAAGTAAAGCATAATTTGATGACGTAATAATTTACAAGATACAAAATGTAAAGTGACCTCTCGTTAAAAAATAAAGCAAATGAGAACCTCGAACTACACACAGGCAAATGACTTATTAACCACATACTTATGTAGATGCTTTGCCATGTATAAAATTGATTAGTTCTGCATGATTTTTTTTTCGGAAACAATGATCCAGTTCGATACAAGCATACTATAAATCAGTAAGGGGTTTCAGTTCAATTCCTTCACCCACATTGCAGTTTTTGTCTTTACCATTTTCACTTTTACTTTTAGAACTGCCATTATTAAGAAGAGTATCTTTTGTCTCCAATCCTCTGAAATTGGTTTTCTCATAGTCATACTTGCTGTGACCTTCTGGTATGCAGCATAGTAGACGACGAAAACTTCGTCTAAAGTTTTCTGACAGAAAAGCATACAAAATCGGATTGACACAACTATTCATGTACGCTAAGCAGTTGGCAGCCATGTGTATGGCCGAGGACACGATAGATACTTCAAAATCAGTATTTAAGTATTGAACTAAAAATATAACTTGTATTGGTAGCCAGCACAAAGCAAATATGAGAACAACGATGACGACCATTTTGGTTACTCTCTTTTTGGCTTTAAGGCTGTCGGCTCGTTGACTTCCGCCCGGAACTACCCCGTATAAAAGACGTTTTAACAGGAATCCGTACATGAGACATATCAGCATTAACGGAATCATGTAGCCAAATGCGAAAAAGCACCCGTAAAATATTTTTAAAACTAATTTGCTTTTCAGTCCCGCCATATTAAGACAAGCTGACCTCTGAAATCCCATCCAGTGGTAATCTACAACTCCATATTGCAGAAATATCGGGACATTACCACAACAGATGAATGTCCACGTCATGTATACCAGTAGGTACGTATTACGTCGATTGCGCAGACGCATGGATGGTATCGGGTGAACAACAGCGAGGTATCTGTCCAGAGACAGCAAAACCAATGTCCACACGCTGGCATAGGCAGAGACGTGTATCAAAAAGTGGACTACTTTGCACCAAACAGCGCCAAAGGGCCAGTACGACATGGCGTAGTTGGCTGCAGTGAATGGGACACAAAATATGATGAAAAATAAGTCAGCCACAGCCAGACTTACTATAAGGATATTTGTGGTATTCTGCATTTGTTTGTAAGACCATACAACAAATATGACTAGCACATTCCCCACAAATCCAAGGATAACTATTAATCCAAAAAGTATTGGGATGAGGTATCGTACAAGATTCTCGAATTGTAAGAAAGCCTCGATGTTGACGTAATCTTCAGTAATGTTGCAAATGGTCCTATTTTCACAAGACATATTGTGAAGCATGGCTGTCAAGTTGATTTTATCTCCGCCAATGTTGTTCATCTAAAATAAAAATATAAAACTTCTAAAATTTATAGAATTGATAATTGTTTAATGACTGTTGGAACAGCGGACATGATGCATACAGGGTATTTTATCTTCAACTTTAAAAAAAATGTGAAATTTGTATAAACTGCATTTAAATTTTTACACCATAAGGTAAATTTAAGGAAAAAAAACGATATCCCAAAGAATTGGTTTATTTATTTCTTTAAACAATTCTTGAAAATGGCGATATTTTTTCTGAGTGTAAAACAAAGTCACGTAAAATTAGTAACAGGAAAATCTTATCTACATTTTCTTCAGAAGGTTTACCTTTTCCGTTTCGTTATTTGGAATTCGTAACTTTTTAGAAAAGACTAGTATGCTTATCTACTTCGGATAACAATAATGAATTAGAGGTACTGTGAGCCATGAGTTCACAAAATGATACCTCAGATATGGTTATAATGGCTAAGTCCATGATTTGCATTGGGAGTCCGCGACCAGAAATGTGTCAGAACAAAAAGTAAAATAGGATATGCATAATGGCACTATATAACAAAGATTCTGTGAAAGTCTCATTAAATTTCATTCAATGGTACAAGAGGAGTTACGGATAAGAGATGGGTACTCTAAAAAGGACGTACAGACGGATTCCCGACCACTATATACATGTACCCTCTCGCTTTTCAAGCGGGGAGTATAATAATTTAGTTAAGTAAATATGCACCGTCTTATTCATTACTTTTATTGATATCAACAGATATATTCTGTTAAAAAAATTAAAGCATTCAATGATATTGATCTGTAATTATACTTCTGTTTGAAAAGCGGGAGGGTATATATAGTGATTGGGATGTCCGTCCGCCTGTTACACTTTGGGATACCCAATTCTTATCCGCAACTCCTCTTTTATCACTTTTTTCAGTCGTATTTAAAACCTTTAAATACGTTTTAAAACTTTTTTTTAAAGCATCTATTTCCTTGTTATGTTTCCATCCATTTCAAATTGGAATATTCAATCACAAAATGTTTTGTCTTAAGGATAAATAACACAAACAAACTTTTTCCTTGATTATTGAACAATTTATCAAAATTTTGGGGAAAGTTGGAAAATGTATGTTACTAGTTCATATTTTTTTTAAAAAGTTTCTTTTTCAGTTTATTTTCTTCCATCTTTTTATTCAGAAGCATTTCAATTTTTTTCTTTATGGCTTTCAAATGTAATGAGTATTGAAAAAAGAATAAAATTAATGTAAAAAGTTTACAAACAATCGAAAAAATTGTTGATTTTTTATGCAAAAAGTTTACAAACAATCGAAAAAATTGTTGATTTTTTATGCAGTCTTTACAGTAGTATCACTTTTGAAGAAACAGGGAATAGGGTACCTTTTTGTTACTTGTAAAACAAGAAAAAAACATTAACACAGAAAAAAAAAATCTTTAACCTTGCTCACATCCTTTGAATGAGAAGGAGATGTCTTTCATACGATATTACTCATGTATATTACTGTGACAAGACCTTTCTAAACACATAATGATCTTTGACCCCATGGCCTTGAAGTTTGGCCTACTTTTAAAAAATTAAACATTACATTGAATTGGCCATAACTTTTGAATGAAAAGAGATAGGGCTTTCATATTAAACATGTGTATTATCTGTGCCTTTTTAAATATGTTATGATTTTTGATCTTGTGACCTTGACCTTGAAGTTTGACCTACTTTTCGAATACTTTAACCTTGCTCATATCTTTGGAATGAGAAGGCTTAGGGCTCTCATATTAAACATGTATATTACTAGTGAAAAGAATTTTCTAAATACATTTTGATTTTTGATCTTGTAATACTGTCCTTGAAGTTTGACCTACTTTCAAAATATTAATATTGAGAAAAGATAGGGCTTTCATAGCTGACTTGTGCATATACTTTGACAATATATTTCCGAACATGCTATGATTTCTGACCCCTTGGCCTTCCAAATCAACTTAGGTGATAGCTTCTGATTGACATATGAAATGGCGTGCATATTTGATACAATATGCCATAAAAAGTTATTCACAAAGACACCAAAAGTGGGGGACCACAATTCTTTGAATTTGCTTGTTTATAATTACTTCATCCTTCAGATGAATAGTCGCTCTGAAATAAATTAGAAAACCGACAATCGATATATTATTTGATAACTGTTTTTTTTTATTTGAAGAAACTCATTTCTTGATACAGTACTCATAATTCTCAAGGACTGATTAAAGTTCTTCATGTTTTTCATGCTACATGTAACTTTTTGCAATAGATACATGTATATGTGTATAATAACACGTACTTGTACATTTACCCGCACCATATTGATACCTACCATTTTCCTTACAGGTTTTTAATAGTTTTCATTTCAAGTGCGTTCTCAGAATTACAATTCGAATCCTTCCCATTTTCAGTTATTTTTGTAGTGTTGTTTAATAAGAGTTCTTTGGAGTTCACTTCTGTGCATTTGGTTGCATTGTTTAATAATGTGTCTTTTGTGTCTTTGTTTTCCTTTTCGTGTCCTCTTGCTTGAGTCCGCTCATATTCAAATTTGTTCCACCTCTCGCGTTTACAACACAGTAATTTTTTAAAACTTCGGCGAAAGTTTTCAGACAGAAAAGCGTATAATATAGGATTCATGCAGCTATTCATGTATGCAATGCAATTAGCTGTCATCAGAAACGAAGTATTCACTATGTTTGTTTCATAGTTAAGGTCAAAATACTGAATCATAAAACAGATGTGTATGGGAAGCCAACATAGGGCAAATATAACAACTACTATGATTATCATACGGGTGACTCTCTTTTTACTTCGGATATTCTCGGCCCTTTGGCTCCCGCCTGGCACAACTCCATACAACAGACGTTTCAATAAAAAACCATACAAGACACAAATGATTAATAAAGGCAAAACATAACCAAAAGCGAAAAAGCAAGCATGAAACAGTGGTAACGTGTCTTCCTCTATATTTATACAACTGGATCGCATGGCACCACTATAATTATACTCCAGGACATTGTACTGAATCAGCAACCGAATGTGTCCCACGCTGAATATAAACCAAGTTAAGACTATCAGGATATAAGCATTTCGGGTATTTCGAAGCCTCATGGAAGATATGGGATGTACCACTGCTAGATACCGGTCAAACGACATAAGAACAAGAGTCCACACGCTTGCATATGCACACACATACATAAGATAGTTGACAATTTTACACCATATATCGCCAAATGGCCATGTAGGCATTGCATACAAGGTAGCGGTGAAAGGCACGCAGAAGATTATGAAGAAAAGGTCTGCGAAAGCCAGACTGACGATCAGAATGTTAGTGGTGTTTTGCATTTGTTTGTAAGAGTACACGACAATGATGACAAGAAGATTTCCCACTAAGCCGAGGAAGACGATAAGTCCAAAGATGGTAGGTATGATGATTCTAACTAAACTCTCGAACAGCATGGCACTCTCGTCTGCACTGGTGCCATTGAGAGCTTGAGAGTCAGTCGTATTTATTTGTGCATCCATTATTTATTGGACCTAAAATGATAGATACTGTCAAGCAAAAACATATATTTACTGATGAGGATTCCAGTGGTACAGTTGTGAGTCCATCATTTAACCCTTATTATTTTATGTTTTATATTTGTGATGCATATTATATTATAGTAATTTGATGAAAGATAATTACACCTGTATCCTTTTAAGGTAAGTCACTCGTCAGCTTTTTAGAAAAGTTCACGCAGAAGCTTTTACTTCAAAACTACTTATTCAAATTCAATTTTTATAACATATTTGAATTCAACAATGTAAATTTTTTAACATTCAATGAAAAAACTGCTCAAAAATCTACAAAGAAGCAAGATCTATGAGGGACTATTTCTTTTGGTGGAAGGATATTTAGCAGAAAATTCTGCAAATCTGCACATTTATAAAATTTAATGTAATGGAAATTTAGCCTCACATAAAACTTATGGAGAATATTTTCCGTTTTGATATTGCTAAAAATATTCAATATAGGTCTTAATTTATATTTTTAGACTAAGTTTTATACCTTCCCTCAACAAACTTTTCCAAAAAATAAAAATATATTAAAGAAGTCAAGGTCAAATTTACACCATTTTTTGCCTGAAAATCACATATTTTGACAAATATTTCAAAATTAGCATCACTGACCCCACCTTTTTCTTTCATTATTTTAAACTACTCGATACTTGTGACTGATCAGCACTCAAGTCGTAAAAAGTTTGATATAAGAAAATTTTTTATTGCCTATTAAATTTTTCAAGACCCCAGATATGTTATTTTTTAGTGCAAAAAGGTCACTCAATAATTTACGCGCATTAATTTGCAAGATTTGTTTAATGATAAATGTTATTCAAACTATTTTACGTAAAATAAGATTGCATTTATTGCCATGCTTACATCTAATCAAATATAATAAGGGTTAAAGTAATTAACCAAAGAGATGAAATTTAAGTGCAAAAAGGTCAAATTAAGTGTACCGTAGATCAGTAGGATGCACACTGACCCCCTATTTTCATTGCGATTTTGAGTTACACTTTATGAGTACTTATCCAAAATATACTTCTCAAAAGATCCTTGATATAAGAAATTTCAGGAGTGACATACCTTAATACGATTTTTTAATTATACGATTGAATAAATCCTATCGCTTTTTCGACTGACTGAGACCAAACATTGTTAAAAAAAATACCACGGTATGTTCACGTGACCTTCCAGGTGAACATAAGGATTTTTCCCTACAAAAATGTTTAAAAACATTGGACAAAAATTGGGCTAAAAGATCAAGAAATTCCAGGTCGATGCATACAGCTTTTGGAAAGTTACCTGAGTGGAAGTAGGGTACAAGAGACGAGTTAGTATCATTCAATCATGAAATAAAACAATTATATATGTTCTTTCTGTAAATACGATGATTTTGCCACCCCTTTGGGCTCGGTGACTATTGTAATGCTTAGGTGGGTAAAACATCGTA